CAGAGAGGTGATCTCTGTTTTGTTTCTTCCTTTTTTTTGTATCTCGGTGCTGCTGGTCTCCTGCTGCCTCTTCTGAGCCACTTCCAGTCCACTTGTACTTGCTGCAGATTCAGCTGTCAGTGGGCCATGCCCGTGCAATGTGCATTAGCACAGCTGCGTGTAGCCTGTACCAGATGCACATGTGACAACGTAGGAGCTCAATTGGGAGATAGCTGTCATCTTATAACAAGAAGTACATTAACAAGGGCCTCCATGCCAGGATCACTAGGTAGTATTTTAAATTAAAGCTGCAGATAGGAAATTACTAAAAATGAAACCACATTAACCATTGACTCCCATTCATAAGAACTGTCATATAAGATTGTTTCTATGATATAAAACTCCTGTTTTTTTTAAACAAATGTAACCCAAATTCTGATCCAAATTGCTGGAAAGGTCATGACTGTACCGGTACATACAAACATTTGTGGTATATCTGCCCATTTGGTTTTATATTCCAGAGTTTTTTTCTTCATAAAACATATTACGTTGAAAGAGATTGTCCTTTCACCTTCACTTGTTATATTAATTTAGATTGTGATGATATTTGGGTTTTACTAAAATAACGTAACATATCTAATCTGAGCTACAAAAACGGCCCTTCCTCAATATTGGGATCAGCACAAAACTCCTAGTCTGTCAGACTAGATAAACAAAATCAACCAATCAGAATACAGTGAGGAAAGAAGGCTCTTCTAGAAAAGATAAGCATGAGGAAAGCTTGTCCAGTTGGAGTAGCTTTAAGACAACTAACATCCAAACCTTGAGTTGGGCCAAAATGTCAAAGCTTGAGTTGGGTTTTAAATCCTGTACGACACCATAGCAAAGTATAACTTCACGTACCATTCAAATTACATTTCGCATGGTAGGGCTTTGATTGTTTATTCTTTGATAGCACAAGGTGGCCTCAATTGTTCCATCATGAATAATCAAGCTCCTCAAACTTGATCCCAGCAAGATTTCCATCTTATGGCCACTAATTCTCCAGAGAATCAGGAACTGCTTCACAAATTTTTTTCTTAGCGGGTCAACTTCTCAGCAATAGGCACTATCCTTCTGTGATCATTATGATGATGGGAGGGACCAGCTCCTTGGAGGAGTTATGAAAATATCAAGATGATCTACTGGGCAAGGGGCCTTGACTTAGGAATAAGCCCCACCTGCACGGTAGTGCAAGACCCACAGTGACCAGTGGGGGCTTTAACAATTGAGTGTTAAATGGTGTGAGCGGGGCTTAGTGCCAGAAGGAAGAAGGACTTAGTGTTGACTTGGGCAAAAGTCTGGGCCTGGGATTCAGGGTCCTTACCAGGAACATAGGAATTTATTGAAAGGTCTGGTAGCATTCGGCAGGTTCACTTTAGAAAGATTTTCCATTTTCTTCAAAATGCCTAGCCTTGTAAACTCATTGATTTTCAATGTAGTGTTGTTAAAGCAGCAAATTGGAGGGATTCAAAAAGAGAGACCCCTACAAGTTAACAGTGGTGATATGGTTACGAAGACAGGGTTTATGCTTGGAAGTCGAAAACCTTTAACACTTCATCACTTAGTATACAGCCCGAAGATTTACTATCTTAAAGACCTGCTCTTAAAGACTGTGTCGAGTTGTTCAAATTGAGTTGCATAGAGCCCCATTCTACTGTCTCTATCTCTTCCGAATAATCTGCAAGACCAACAGCCATAAACTCACTGTCCCAATCCCTCCCAAAGCCAGCATGGCTCAGCCAACCTCCAAACCCAAGCTATTAGTGTGATTACTGGAGGTCAAAAAGTTCAAATGAAAATGTCAATTTTCATTTGGTGGAATGGGCCATTTCGGAGAGCCAAGCTCTGATAAGGACCCACCTCAAGAGCTTCCCCCACCTGTAAAATCATTGCTCCCCAAGGGCCAACAAATCTCATTCAGTCTCTAAGGTGCCAATAGCGGGCTCATGCCAATAAAAAGATTAATGAGGAGGGTCAGTGTTGTTTGGCTTTTGCTTTGTAGTCTTAGGGCTTCACGACCTATTTTCAGGATATTAACAGTTCTCCCCCCTCCCCACCTGCGAGGCCTCACCACTTGGCTTTTAACTCCTCCAAGATTTATCGGTTCAATCTGCACCATTAATCTTTCCAGTTAAATACCTATACATGCATTTGACACCGCCAACGCCAAGTTAATAAAATATATACTATTATGTGTTCAAATGTCACGTATTAGCTTCAGAATATTGCTTACGACTTTTTTTTTTCGAGAGGTGTCAGATTTATAACTGTTTAATATTTCCTGTAATTGTCTGCAACCCTTTTAAAATACAATATAATAAAAATGTGTCTTAAGAGATTGCTGCGTATGAAGTTGTTCTGGCAGAGAAGCGTCTGTGTCTACCTGCTATTGGTGGGATAATTAGTCCCAGCATCTATAGACTGGCAGTTACTAACCGTGCATGGAGAAAGGCAAAAGGCATTAATGGACCTAATGTGGCATCTATATGCTTTTCCATTTTGTATGTTTAAGATAAGCATGTGACTGTGGCTGCATGTGACTGTGGCTGGCTAGATATAAAGATTATTAGTATGTGCTAATCTTTCAAAAACCTCCTATCTCTGCGGTCTGCCTGCAGAGATGCTGGTTATATTCACAACACACACTAGAAAATGTATGACATCTATCATGCAACGGCGATGTCTAATGTGAAAGTCACTCCAAAAATGACATTCAGGTAAATGCTGAAATTCTTAGTGCACATTCCCTGAAAATACATTGCAGTTTCCCGTTACAAAATTGCTGAGAGCAGCAATTATAGAAAGACTCCATTCAGCACGATTAGTGTATAACAGCCACTTATTGTAATCCCATTATCATTCTTGAAACTTGCAGCTTCTTGCGTAAATGCCATATCCAGTTAAACTGGATATGGACAATACAGCGCGGCCTGGTGCTTGGGGTATATGATGCAGGTAGAAATAAATTACATTTGACAAGACAGGTACTGATGGAAAATCTGTCCAATGGGGGCATAGGCAAAAAAAAAGACACACACAAGGTTTAGAACAATGTTTTTAATGCTGTAAGTGCCTTCTTATCTAGTGAGAAACATTCCACACCCTGGTGTTACAGGGACAGGAAGTAAGGGAAAATCTCCTCAATGGGCCACAGACAGGAATAAACCTGGCAGGCATGTAAACACTTGCATGTTCTATGCAAAAGAATAAAAAATATTGGCTAGACTTGGGCTTCATTTACTAATGTATATTGATAGTACAAGCTTACTTTAAGTTATAGCCCAAATGTTACGAAGACTTGTGAAACAATGGCTGAGTCTATGAGTATGGTGAAATGGACAAGTAATTATTGTGATAGATTCTGTAGAATAGATAGAATCTGTATATTGTCTGATATTGAAAACACTATGGGGTTAATTTACAAAAGTTCTGCCTGGCGAAAAGCTAGTGTGTTTGCATGGTACTAGTGCCACCAGATGGCTATGATGAATATAGGAAACTCCTATACTCGTTATCTAGGGTCACTAGTGCTTTGTGAACAGCATCTGCCCAGGTATTTGCCGGCTGAAACCTTTAAGCTGGCCATACACTAGTAGATTTTCGATCGGAAATTTTTGTTGCTGCCAAGAACCCTCTTTTGATTCTGGCTCAAATAGCCCATCATGCACAGACCAATGTCGATTTTGATAATCGTTCGTTAGCAATACTAACTCACCGAATGTCATCGATAGTTTGCACATGTGCAGTGTTCTTGTTGCAATTTTTTCCATACAGAAATGCCACTAATCCATCGATTTTCGTATGATTCTAAAAAGGTTTTGCAGCCTGCCCGATCGAGGAAATTCGGCCAGGAGTACGGTAAAAAAAATTGTTGGGTTTCCATCAACTGATCGATTATTGTTCGAAAGACCATTCGTGGGCGATTTCCGAACGCAAATCGATAGGTGTATGGGCACCTTTATACCTCTGTTTACTACCTTTCTGAATCTCTAGTTTTGATGGATACATTTCCACACTGATTTCCAACTATCCTTTTAGCTGCTAAACTATTACTTTATTTATTGGGACATGCCTTCATGAGAAAAGAACATAAATATGACAAAATAAAAAAAGTTTATGAAATATACAGCTCATTGTCACGTTGGGACCTGAAGGGTATGAATTTTTCCCCCATCCTAAATTTCTTTTTTCTGTTACTTTTTATGCAGCTTCAGTTACCCTGTTGTAAAGATACTGATACTATAAAACAACTGCTAAATCTGATATGAGAAACCACCGCCTATGGTCTCCAGCTCTGCCTCCCATTGGCTAAAAAATAAGATAGACAGTAACAGCTAGTCTCAAGAGATGGAAAGGGGTGCAGCAATCATGATGTTTTAACATTCCCTTACATTTTCTGAAGAGCACCCATGAGCCCCAAATAACTGGGTACTATGTCATGTATAGACTCTAAAAAGTGCCTTATTTATGCAATCAGTGGTTGTGTTATAGTTTTCTTATATCAGGTTTGTGTTTAGCTTAAATCCCAAACAAAGTACCACAAAAATAGATTTTCAGCCAGACATTGTAGTAAAAATGACAATTTTCAAAGTCTTGCGCATACTTTTCTGTTATAACAGTTGTGCAGTGTCTAAACATGATGGGCACCCACCAGAGTCTGACCACACTGTCCAGTGCATCCTGTAATCTAACAGATCTGGTCAGCCATGCCTCTTCTCTGGCAAAACGCACCCCTTCTCTGGTCAGACACACCCCCTTTTTTGGCCTGATACACCTCTGCTCTTCCTCTCCTCTTTACTGCAAGTCTGTGTAAGGACCTGTGACAACATAGAGCACTGGAGTAGGAATGCAGGAAGAAGCATTAACACTATGAGAAAAATATGTTTTAAGACAATTCTAAGCAAAAATCAGTTTATAAATTATGACAAATGATGGTATAAGACTATAAGTGTGAGAAATGGGATTGCATCCATCTCACTTCCTTTTTTACCTTTATACCCCAAAATTATGAGGATATCTGTGTTCAGGCAGAGAGCAGATAAACTATTCACCTGTCTTCCTAGCTACGGATCACGATGGTGTCACCATGAACCACATTGACTAACTTCGAAGAAGTACAAAGGATCGCCAATGGCAGTTTGCTTTTCAGTAGATCAATCTGCATCTGACTGAAGAAGGCAGAGCTGATCTGAGGTGGGAGACCTCAGCAGGGGGTTTACTGTTTTCTACCTGAAAGTGGGAACCCCCCCACCGCCGCCTATAAGTAATACAATTTAACATCAATAGATCTCATATTTATTTCTCAAAGTCATGAAAATGCAATGCTGAGACAAAGTGGAGGTCTCTGTGTGGATGAAATCTGCATCTATTCTCTCTGACAGCCATACTCAGGGCAAAAGGTCAGTGGCGGAGTAGAAGTCTCGGTGGAGGAGTGTCAGGTGACGAGCCATCTGATCTGAGCTTTACAGGTAACTTTTCATGAATATCCTACAAGTAGCGCTGAGAGCCAAGACATGTGAAACTGGTAAATTATGTACAGGTAGCACCGAGCCCAACAGATGGTGCAGCTGCTGTAATATAAGACCTTTGCTTGAGTGAGATATTTACATACAAATATTAGATACTGAACAGCAGAAGATCTCACTCCTGCTCATCAAATCTCCTTTTTTAAGACAAAGTTCACCTTTTACACCTATGCTGTGTCTCTTTCACACTCCGTGATATCTAATTACCTATTTTCTACTCTTTTTTTAATGACTTTGCACATTGTTGTGTTCCTCTGCCACGATTCACTTTTTTTCCATTCTTCCTGATTTCATTGGGTGTTCTGTAAGCACATGGGTCCATTGAGCAAAATGGCAGCTGGAATCCTTCTAACTTGATGGTAACAGGCAGTTATGCACAGTGCAGCTCATGCAAGCCCTCAGACCCTATTCACATTGAGCGATATGTAGCGTGATTTTGGCTCAAAAATCGCTCAAATATCGCTCAAAAATCGCTCAATGTAGCTCGTTTAATACATTTCAATGTTCACATCTCACAGCTCAATGTCGCCTGTAGTTTGTAGCTCAAGCTTGTCGCTTGAACATGACCTATTTTTCCAGCAGATTTTGTACGATTTGGCCCTTATAGGCTTTGAAAGACTGCCAAAAGAAGCGCTACGTAGTGCAACAAAATGTGCACTGTAGCTCAATGTAGCTCAATGTCGCTCAGCTCAAATCAGCGTTGAAACTTATATAGCTCAGTGTGAATGTGGTCTAAGAGAGAAGTAGTTCATGCATGAACGCAGGGTCAAAGCTAGGGGGGCGGGCTGGAGGGGGGGCATGTGCCCCGGGTGCCGATTTAGGCTAGGTTCACACATGCACGACACCCGGGCCACGCATCCCAGGGCCGCGCGATCGTGTGCTAGTGCACACAGCGATTGCTGTGCGGCCCTATTGATTTAAATGGGAAGACGCGCGGCAATCTCTAAAAAAAGGTACAAGTACCTTTTTTTTGCGACACACGACGCGCACCTTTTTAGCAATCATGTTCACTTGCACGGGCGTAATCGCGGTGGGAAACCGTGCGATCCACCCGGCACGACTGGGGTGCGCCCACAGTGCGATCGGTTCACACCTTGGCGACTCCCGACCGTGCGGCAATCATGCACAAAACCTTGCGGATTGAAGTGTGAACCTAGCCTTAGGAGGGGTGCCCCTGGGTGCATGGATGAAGAACTTCATCCATGCAACTCTGAGCCTCTGCCCCGGAAGACAGAATGTCTAGCTTCCCCACTGCATGAACGTATGTGTCCATCTTCTCCAACATAAAAAATAGTGATTGTTCTCATCTCAATGCTACAGTGCAATGTGTTTTGAAAAATACAACATGTCTATTTTTTCCTTTTAAGCGCACTGGGAGCACTATAGACGTCAATGGCAGCACATCAAAATGCAAATAACTTGCATTTTGATATATTGGTCATTAACAAGCCTTGGTCAATGGCTGTTAACCCCAGCTACTAAAAATTCTAGATTCAAAAATCCATTAAAAACGATAGTCAAAAAGCATGTCAATGCACAAATGAAACGCAAAATATGACAAAACACTTACCTAACGCTACAAAAAATGCACCACTACCCAAAATACACAAATAAAACCCTCTAAATGAAGATAAGCAGAGTGCAAAGTCCATTCTTGTGGGAATTCGAGCTTTCCCATGCAACAGTGAGGCACTCATTAGTGCCTCCACGAAGCAGAAAAAAGTCAGTGCCTAAAGCAAGTATTACTCTTTATTCCTCAAATGGTTCATTTTCTCAGCTTTTATACAGTATTTTAATTTGGGGAGTGGGGGGGCTACCATAAAAGCCAGCCCTGCATTTCCATGCAAGGTCTGTTTTAAGGGGGAAGGGGAAGATGTTAGTTAGAGCTGATTAGGACTAACTAAAGCCTTAATTGGGATTTTTTTTAAAATAAAAACTTTTTTAACTTGTGAGGTTGCTTTAAAGTGTATGTAAAGCCAAAACATTTTTTGTTAGTTTTGGATAGAGTAGGGAACAGTTAAGACCCATCAGGTTCAATTTGCTGCCTGGAGATTTAACTTCACTTTCTGTCCCAAAGACCCATCGCGAAGCTAGGGGAAATTCCCTGTTAGCCAATTGTCAGCCTAACAGCAGTCCCCTTTGGAAGATTTCTCTTCACCTCCTATTCCAGTGAAAATTGTAACATGTTAGCTTTCCTATCACTTTATGTATCAGATAGAATGGTTATCAAAAAAATAAAGTAGGTGATCCTGCCCAGCGGAGAAACAGACCGCAATGGTTTTAACACCTCACTCTAGCCAAGATTTAAGAAATTGTTAGCTTTACCTACAGTTTGTCAAAAATCTGCAGATCAATGGACATACATTTGACCTGCACAGCAAAAAATTTGTGTAAATACATTGTAACAACAATAGTTGCAACCTATTTCTTAATGATGCCTGCGTATTGTCGCATCATGTGACCATTCGGGTTTCACCTAAAGAGAACAGCAGGGGAGGCACAATGCAGGGAAGACATCAAAAACAATTGGACAAGGTGTTCAGACATGCCCGATTGCTTCTCCCCTGAGCTGCTAGTGTGTGCTGGTGATATTACGCTGTCTGATGATCTGACATGATCTGGCAGCATATATCAGGTATCTTATCGATTTGTAATTGTTTCTTTGTACACGTGTTTATGCTTTGTTTTTACTATAGATTGTAATTGGTATTTTCCTGTCTGGTGTGCTCTGATACCATGATGATGTCATGGGGCGGGGCTGTAAACTTTTTCCACACTCACTGAGGGGTATATATGTGGTATGGTATGTTTCACTCACTTGTCACATCTCAGCCCTGATGAAGGGACCCTGCGTGGTTCCGAAACGTTGGATTATGCGATATGTGTGACGTTTAGTCCAAATAAATTGACTTTTTTTGAATTTCATTTGCTGAGTGCTGGTGATTTCTATTGTTCATTGACTGTTGTACACGGCGCCATCCGTGATTGTCACTGCAAGCACCACTATTTTCACTTGGACCGGAAGCGCTGTAAGGAGTGCAGGGGGACCTACTGTTTTCTGATGATCTGACCCGACAATTCCGAAATGTGGAAATTTAGACTAGCCTACCACAAGCTATAACTACAGTATATGGGTCACTAACATTAACACCTCTCTTCATAGACACCATGGGCTGCTATTTGGCTAAATATTGCTGTACTGAAGGGGCCCTCTCACTTATTCACTGGTTACTTGTTCTAACCAAGTCTAGTGCCGCCTGTCTGATGTTTCAGATATGGAGTGACCTCCCGATGACAGGAGGCTGCATGGATCACTCAATATTAATGCATCCTGACCTGTCTACAGCATCTGATACAGCACACCATGCAAGTTTAATCAGCAGAGATACTACAGTGGATACCGTATGACAGTCCGCAGCGAGTCTACATCTTCTCCTAGTGACAGGTCACCAAGAGGTCTCTCTGGATCATACCCTATACAAGGCTGTCCCTCTAGCTGGTGGGCATATTCAGTAAGACAGGGTGCAATGTGCAAAGTGTAATAAGCCATAACAACCAATCAGCAACCTTCTTTCACTGATCTGACTGCAGCAAACTGAAAACACTTTGCTTTGAGTTATTGTACTTTGCACTTCATCACTGCTGTCTATGCTACTTTACTGAATACGCTCATGCAAAAACATTATCCTAAGAGACATGTTATAGCTTATTCCATTAAAAATAACTCAGAAACA